TCTCTTACACAAACACCTGGTGCCACCCCAAGGAGGCGCAGTCCAGTCGGGCAACTGATAAATGTCATTAGGGGAGGATGAGAGAGAAGTCTCAGAACACAGGAACATGCTTCTGCAGATCTGTCTGGAAAGTTAACCTCTTCCTTTATTTCTCTGCTGCCTGAAGGGGCGTGTTAAGGGGCCCCTGACAGGTGAGGGTGGGGGGCAGTTGGAAGGGTTGGAACAGCAGAGCCAAGGGCGGTCAGTGACAACTGTCAGCCGGTTGGGAGTCCCCGTCACTGGGCTCCATGCCTCCTTCCTCTGTCCTGCCCGCAGAGACCGGGGGTGGCCTCTCGCCCAGGAGCACCCAGTGCCAGTGGGGGAAAAGGTTAAGGCTGACAGCACGAATCAGAGGCACCTGCAGGAGCCCCCAAACAGAGGTGCTGCTTGTCCTCTGCTTGATGTGTGTTTAGCTCAAGCTGCTCAGGGCCATGCACGCCACCTCTGCTCTCACACACGGAATTTGAATCAAGAGCCGGAGAACTTGCCTTTGTGGCTTACCCAGCAATCTTAACATACAAAGAAGACACTGAAGCACAGGTCGTCATGACTAGTTGGGCATGCTGGCTACAGCATTCCCATAAACCCTGTCCACCCTCCAGTGAACACAGAATGCTCCCCAAGAGTCCACCCAGCTTCTGAGTCTTTCTGTCAATAGCAGCAGAGCTGGGAAAGAGCTGGATGCTAAGAATCATTTCCACTCCAAGCACCAGATTCTGCAAGAACATTGAGGGGCTCTGGGTGTCTCAAGGAGCAAAGATAATGCCGATCCAGGAGTAAGTCCTATTTTTAAAGAAATTTTAAAAGGTTTATTTATTTATGCAGACAGAACTGGGGTGCAGGCCAGAGATGCAGAGGGTGAGGGGATTCACCAGGAACAGGGTGGGGAGTGGAACAGGCAAACTAATGAAGTACACTGCTGAGGGGAGCAGCGGGAGGGTCAGGAGAGGTCTGCCGTGCCATGTGGATCAGCTCCCGGGTGGGGATTGAACTTGTACTGAAGTGGCAGTGGCCAGCTTGCAGTGCTGAGCTTTAGCCTGCTGTGACACCAAGGAGGGCCAAGTAAGTCCTTTTTATGCTGTCTTCCTTCCCTTTTTTTAAATAAAAAATGAGGCATACTTTGGCCCACTGGTGGGAAAACACTATGGTTGCACCCTCCCTCTTCCACACCGGCTCCTGCAAGGTGGATGAACAAGATGGAAGAGGACTCAGGTTTCAGTGGTGAGAATTGGTGACCCAGTCTTGGGACATTTACAGGAAGCTACAAGGCCAGCAGACATGAGAAATAAAATGCATGGAGTAATACTCACGGGTGCCCTGCATTTTTAAATGCTGCCTCTCACAGAGCCAGGCAGTAGCCCTGATCTTAGACATCATGATTACAGCCATTTGATGACTCTACTCTTATGAAGAACATGTAACTCAATATACTGGAAGTAACAGCCTGAATGTCTCATGTCAACCTATGAGGGACTGCTTCAGAATGGCTGAAGAAAGATTGATGGAAGTGGCTGAGTAAGAAAGGAAAAGCAGGGCTGAGGGATATCCGGAAATTTTTCTATCAGTAAAACCTATTAGTCTGCAGGACACTGCCTCCAGGGAAGCCGTGAAAGCCCCGTCTTATGAGTCATTTCAAATGGAGTGGGCTTGGCTACTGGACTTATTCCAAAGGGAAAATGCTTCTTGGGCTACGTTGGAGACAGACAACATGACCTAATGGGTGGTTGTCATGTTTCGTATTTTCCCTGTTTAGTGTGTCTGGGTTGTTCTTGGGATTTAACCAGGAAGTAAGAGAAGTGGAATTGAAGGGTCAGGACCCTGTTACTCTGGCGATCAGGCTCACATGTCTGGTCAGCATCTCTCCTGAGAAGTGGTGCAGCTGGGATCAGAGGCCAGAGGACTTCACGAGAGGAAAAGGAAAACGTGGCACTACAGAAGAGCGACGGCTGAAGGCGAGGCTGGCAGAGCCTGCCTCTGGCCTTTTCGGTGTGGCCTTCAAACAGAGCAGGGCTGAGCACCTGAATCCCCTCAGGTATTAATTCTCAGCACTAATACCTGCTTCTCTGCTCAAGTGACCACATGTCACTTCATCTGCTCTTCAGTATTTCCCCTTTATTTTATGAGGCTTGCTCTCATTTTTCTCTCGCTGCCTTATTTCTGTGGATAATGAATGTCCCTTCACATACTTACTTACACGACTCAAAAATCCATACACACTAAACTTATCCCCCCCCCCTTTTTTTGTTTTTTATGGTAAGGCACAGCTCGGTCTGGCTGTTAAATTTACTGTCATGACTTCCCTGGGTTTCGATTCTCTCAACTGTAAAATGGTGAACATAAAACCATCTCTATTTACATCTCAGGTTGTCATAAAAAACAAGTAAGAGAATGGCTGTGAAATCGTCCTGAAAGTTAAAGTACTATAGAAATACAAGGCACTACTGTTTCTTGCTTCTGGCCCATCTCGGGGTGAAAAGGCTTTGTCGACATACACTTTATATTACCTGGTGTCATTCACTTCCTAGTAGCTGAGCATAAGAGTTAATGAAAACAACTGACACCACAAACATTCACTAAAAATAACATGAAATTACATTGCAGTTTGGGTGGGTGGGGAAGGAGGGTCTCTTTTAGAACCAGTAATATAAATAATAAATTGCTGTTTATGTTTGATCAGTTTAGTTGGCTTTCTCTATTTCTCTGCTGTAGAAAGCTTACTGGAATAGGCCTTCCCTGGTGGTGCAATGGGTTAGGATGCAGCACTGCAAGCTGGCCCCAGCCACTTCAGCATGAGTTTGATC